CACTGCTGCCCCTTCCATAGGTGGGCACACGTGCCCTCACCTGAGCAAGAGGGACAGGTGGGCACACGCGTGACAGCTAACGCTTTTGTGGAGGGAGATGCGGGAGGCAGCCGCCTGCCGCAGAGGAGAAGGCCACCCACACCACCCCAGTGGTCCACTGGGGGCCTGCCCGGTGTGTTCCCACCGTGTCCTCTGTGCCTAGCAGATGTGGGTGCTCAGCAGGTGGTTGTGGGACAGAGAATGAAGAACAGCATGGATGAAGGCAGGAGGGTTCCCTGTGGAGGCTGAGAGCCTTGCCGCGGGAAAGGGAGGCATCGGGGGGAGAGCAGGCTGTCCCGCAGGACTCATGCCTTTCCTCTCTCTCGAAACCTAGGCACCTTGGGGCTGACCAGCGGCTGCTCTGAGTGGGAGGTGAGCGGTGCTAGCCTGAGCCTCCTTGTGATTGAGAAGCGCCATGGCGAGCATCGTATGGGCCTCCCTGGCTGCTCTCCTGCTGCTGCCTCTGGTAAGGCCCCAGGTCCATACCCTGTCCTCCCTCCCCCCACCAGCTGGAGCCCCCAGCTCACCTGAGCCCCCACCCCAGAGAACCCTGTCTTTGGCCTACCCTCAGTTGGTATCTCTGCTGGCACCCGCACTGGACCATCCAGCACTTTTGTGAATTAGAAAGGGTGTCCCATCCTCAAGGCCTTCACCTGACTTGACCAGAGATCCTTACACAGTTTAGGAATGTAACGCGATGCTGACGTGGGCAGTCTCAGCGCTGTGCATCCTGTGCCCTGCAGGGCCCCGGCCGGGCTGCCGGCGGCTCTTTGACCCCAGGCCCCTGCTCACCAGTCTGCCAGGTCAGAGCTCAGGAGCCTGCTCTCTGCTCATGTCTCTCCCAGAGCGAGGGTGGTGGGGAGGGTTCCAGGCCCTGGCCCCCGCCCTGAGCTGGGACTTCACACCAGCAGTGGCTCTAGCTGTCTTCGAGATCTGGATCCGAGCCCTACCTCTGCCCTGCCTCACCGTGTGGCCACAGACAGCCTGTCCCCCGCCCTGGAAGCTGTCTGCACCTCTGTGAACAGTCGGGGCTAGACCGAGGATGGGAGTCCTGGATGTGCCTGCCTCCGTGCTCCCGATATCCCCCTACAGAACTGCTTCTGCCCCTGAATTTTGAGTTAGTGGCGACAGCAATGCCAGGGCTTTGAGGTTACTTCTCCTGCGCTTGAATCCAGCATCTGCCACTAACCAGCTGTGGGACCTTGGGCAGGAGTTTTCTTAACTTCTCTGAGCCTCAGTTTCCTCTTCTGTAAAATGGGGCAAGAGCAAGGTGGTGGTCTTTCAGCCCCTGAAGGTATCTCCTCCTCTCCTCCTTTGTGTATTCCACACAGGGCTGTTTGTATTTTGTCTTGATGCTTTCAAGTGGGTGCCCTGGGGATAAATGTCTTTATGATCT